GGGGGGGGGGGGGGGGGGGGTTACATGAAAGTAAATTTTTCTAAAAATCCCCATAACAAACTCTCAAAGTTAGGATAGCCTCACACTTGTCTTACATCCCAAAAGATAAAATAAAAATAAAATAAAAAATAATGCATATATTTATTTAGTTAGTTAGTTAGTTATTTACAAGAAAGAAACTTTTATTTCGCAAGGACAGGCTAAATTGATCAAAAGTGACATTTATAATGTTACAAAAGATTCTGTTTCAAATAAATGCTGTTTCTGTTCATCAGAAAAAAGAAAAAAACATCGTGAAACAGTTTAGACTAAAATGTTAAGCAGCACAACTGTTTTCAACATTGATAATAACAAGAAATGTTTCATGAGCAGCAAATCAGCATATTAGTGTAATTTCTGAAGGATCATGTGACACTGAAGACTGGAGTAATGATGCTAAAAAATCAGCTTTGCCATCACAGGACTAAATAACATTTTAAAATGCATTGAATTGTATAAATGAATAAATAAATGCAGCCATGGTGAGCAGAATTTACTTCTTTTAATACCGCGAACCCAAAACTATTGAATGCTAGTGTATAGTGTATATTACTACTACATCTAGCACACCAGTGAGAAAAGAAAAAGAGAAAAACTAACACTTTATTGTGATAGTCCACTTTAGACATTCTACTAATAGTAAGTAACTTAGCAACTACATGTCAACTAGCAGTCATTAGAGTATTAGTAGACTGTCTGATAAATATCTTCTAACACTTTATTTTGATGGGTCCACAAAATACTGACTATAAGAAACATTGCAAGAATATGTCAACTTATTCTACTAACCCTAAACCTAACCTAACAGTCTACTCTGAGAGTTAGTAGACATGTAGTTGCAAATTAATGAGAATTAGTTGACATGTAGTTGCAAAGTTACTTATAGATAGTAGAATGTCTAAAGTGGACTATCCAAATAATGTGTAACCAAAAAAACCTATGGGTTATCAACAGAGAGAGAGTTCTTAAGAGACCTCTTATAGAGAAAAGGATAAACTTATCAGTAAGCTTTTCAATTGTTGAATTCATTGTAGTAAACAAGGCAACCACGTGAGTAGGCTCGGTTGAGCACAATCAGTGTCATTCTTAAGAACCATTCCTGACCTAGACCAGCAGAAAAATATCCCTATTGTTGAGCCGTGATGAATGACTACTAGCCCCTTAATATAATCCTTCCTGTGCTCCCACTTACAGTAATGCTCTTTCATGGCTTGTCTCTCTCATATCTACTCAAACAATGGGCCAAAACCAAGCTTACCTGCACTCTGAATTGGCTCATGTGGGAGATTCATTGCTGGAAATAATGAAAGGGACACTCCATACGCTAGAAGAGCTATTTCTTCTCGCTCTCGTCTGAGAAGGTGAAAATGGAGGTGGCCCGAGAGCAGGTCTCGCTGGAGCGCTCGATTTCTCTTAAGGGCACGCTGTTCTGAAACCTGTCATAGGTGATTAATGCCATATAGGCAGAGGCAATCCAAAGGACACTGCACCAGTACACTCATTAAGAAAATATATCCTCAATCTTTTTACCCCTACACGCTTACAAGAGCTTCAAAGGAAGTGTAGCGTTTACCTTGTTGAACTATGATATCCTTGATTTTGGTATTTAACTATATATTTATGTATATATTTTTTTATTTCATTCAATGCTATTATTATTTTATTTACACATACAGTGGTGGCCAAAATTATTAGAACACTAGTATTTTCACCAGCTAAAAAAATGGTTTAAGTCTGTTATTTCTATCTTTTGCTGTAGTGTGTCAGTAGAAAATATCAGTTTACATTTCCAAACATTCATTTTCCACCACTGTATTTATTACTACTGTTCATTTTATTTTAGGTGATTGTAAGTTTTCTTCTAAACTGGTCTGTTCTAGGTTGGTTGGAGAGAGATTGAAATTTCATAAATGCATTGTCTCTGTAAAAATAAATATATTCATTCATGAAAATAAAAATAATTATCAAAAAAAGAAAGTGTAACATTATCAATCCTATTTCAGAGTAACAGTAAAGTTATATTATATTTTTTATCAGTTTTAATGTCTTTTCATGCATGATCTTGTGAATTGAATATTTAATTAAAAATAAAAATGTAACTAAATGAATGCATGCAAGATAACATTATTCATATTAATTCTAAATCTTTATTACTGTGTTAACATGACAAGTTGTGATGTTGCTCTGCATACAAAACAGCTCAACTCTACTTTTTAAGATGTTATTAAAAAATAGTTTCATACTATTGCAGCAAATTAATAAATGTCCTCTCTATCTCATTTTAATTCTGTAGCTGCTCTCTATACCGAAATATAGAAATGAAATGTAATCCACTGTTGTTTCAACTTCCCAGCATTCTCCTTGATGAAGAAGGCCACATAAAGATCACAGGTAAGCAGGGTTTTAGTTTTATTTGCTCTCACCACATGACCCAACTCTTTATGTTTGTCATCGATCGAAGGCACCGCGTGTTGATGGTTTAATATCTTCTCTGCGCTCTCAGATTTTGGCCTGAGCAAAGAGGCAATCGACCATGACAAACGAGCGTACTCCTTCTGTGGGACCATCGAGTACATGGCCCCAGAGGTGGTCAATAGACGAGGTCACACTCAAAGTGCTGACTGGTGGTCCTTTGGCGTCTTAATGGTAAGTGTCCTTGCAGATTGTAAAGGATCATAGTGGGCTGTGTGAGCACTGCAGTGTTTTAGTGTTATGAGCGTGTGTAGCATTAGCCTGGGGCTGAAGGATAATGTGGCCACAGCTCTGTGGGGTTCCCACAGCCCATTTTGGTGCAAAATTACACATTACATTAGTTTGACTATGTTTTAATGTTATTTTAATGCATTAACTAGCCTTACTATGCTGCGTTCCATTCAACTCAACTCAGAATCTTACATGGTGAACTGCATTTTTTGGGTGATATAGCCCTATTATACAAAAAGGGTGATTTTTGCCCCCATGAAAAAGACTTGATCTGGACAGACATATAGATTTTTTTTATAGTAAAATGTCCTCTTTTATGTGAAAAGATAAAGGGAATTTTGATTTCTCAGTTCATGACCCCTTTAAATATATAAATATGAAAATTATACAAAAAATGCAGTCCTCCTTATAAAAAAGTTGTGGTTCTTTGAAGAACACAGAAATGCACGAAGAGCAAAGAAGCAACACACATTTCATAGAACAAGTGGCAGGTGTATTATTTAGCAGAACTTAATGCACTTACCTATTTTGTCATACAGTATCAGATTTTTTCACTGTCAAACATTACATTTTCAGATTCAATCCCAATTTTGAATACTGTTGTCAATCTAGAAACTCTGCAATGTGTAGCTAGTTAGAAGGAAAAATAATTGGTCCCCATTTTTAATTCAGATAATAAAATGATATTCAGATTTAAGTGATATTTTGAACACTAAACTGGGAAATGTCCCCAGTTTCCATATCTTAATTTTTTTTTTTCTTTTTTAACAATATACAAACAGGAATGAGAACATGACAACACATATCAATTCAACATCCCCACCTATCCTCCCTTCCTCACCCAATATATCTGACTTTGAGTGAAACACAGCATCAGCAAGAGTTGCTAACCTTTAACAAAACAAACAAAACACTGAAAATTATATTTATCGGACACTTCCTCACAAGATATACATCAGTGGATCTCTTCTTGCTGCTGCACTGGGCCATATATTCTTCTATTAATTCAAAAAAGATCTGCTTAGGCAAAAACACCTTTTATTATTTTCCTAAGCTGTTGCCGGTAATTGCTTCTAGATGAGGGTACGTCCTCTGAGAATTTCCATTTCCTCAGAAGCAACTGACTCACAGCCATCGTTGGAGCAAATCATTTTTGAAGAGGTGCACACTTATAGGTATCAAGAGCTCAGATGGATACGACACCTGATTTTAAGAGCTTGTGATTAAAGTTGAGATGAGACTTCTAATTAAAAATGTTTAAAGTGAAGTATAATTTATGCTGGACTAGCTGCACCCACCAAATCTACCAATGGGGGTTTACTGGACCATAATACGCAGCCAAACCTTGACCCATTGGGCAGACAAAACACAACTGGCTCAGCAACATGACCTTTTGTGGTACAGAAATTTACCAAATAACCTTTAAAAGTTTGACAGTGAATGCAGGACATACGGACTATTTTTAGGATTAAATTGATAGATCAGTATTGCATTCAAAGTTCTCTAAGCTCTACTTTAGTAGATTATTTTTAACTGTATTATCACCCAGCTCTCAGTGTAAATAAATTTGACCTGAGTTGTTGTTTGGTGGAATTGTTGTGGACTCTCTCTTTAAAACTACAGCCCATTTAACTGGTTCACTTATGAATATCCACAGCATAACCCAGCCTTAAAATGAATTCACTCACAGGAAAAAATGTTACATAAGAGTGAGCACGCTGAGATAGATTTGGTTTCACAGTATGCGCTGTTACTGTGTAGCGGTGCTGAATACACACTTCTCTTATTGTATCATCCGTAAATAAACTTGCTAGAGCAAAGCCTGATGCTTCTATTACTGTCCCCAGTTTGAAATGCTGACTGGATCCCTGCCATTTCAAGGCAAAGACCGCAAAGAGACCATGGCACTTATTCTCAAGTAAGAATTATTGTTGTATTTCTGCATTTTCTGACAGCCTAATGTTTTATTCTTGTTTTAAAGATTTGTAATTCTAAAGTTGTCCTCACAAATGGATCTGTCAAGATGATTTGTGATGTTTGTGGCTATGTATCACAGTCTCATTTATTTTCAGAAATAAATAACAGATTTAATGGTTTCTTTTTTTTTCTCAGGGCAAAACTCGGCATGCCGCAGTTCCTCAGCCCAGAAGTCCAGAGTTTACTGCGGGCTCTTTTCAAAAGAAACCCTTCCAATAGATTAGGTAGACTACCGTACATGCACCAAACACTGCCTCACAAAAATTCAATTCACCTGGCTTCAGTCTCTCCTCCATAAGACCATCCTAATCCAGCCAAGATCTTAAAGGGGTCATATGATGCTATTTTAAAGATCATTATTTGGTGTATTTGGTGTAACAGAATATGTTGACATGCTTTAATGTTCAAAAAACAATTTATTGTTCAAATACTGTACATTATTGTAGGTCCTCTATGCACCGCCTCCCTCAAACGCTTCGTTTTCAACAAAGCCCCCTCCTTTGACAAGCGCAGTCTGCTCTGATTGGCCAGCTGACCGAGTGCATTGTGATTGGCTGAACACCACAAGCACGCATCGGAAATGTAACTCCCCTTACCATAATCGCGAGCTTCAGCTTTCAAAGTAAATATCAAGACAGTTAAGAAATAGCCTTTGTGCACAGCCAGCCTTGTACTCTTCTAGGTTCAAAAAACTGTTGTCCATAAAATGCGTTGCACAAATTTGAACATCTGGGTTGTGCTGTTCTGTTGTAAATAAATCTTAACCAATGATTCCTAATTGCATCTACTTCCGGAAGGCCAAATAAAGTGCTTTTGCATTCGCACTGAAACACAGCGTCTCCCTGACATGCTGCATCAACACTACTGCTGTTCCTGAAACCACGCCTTCTTTCTTTGCATGAACGGCATTATGCTAATATCTCCACATAGTGATGTAGACATGTGGGGGCGTGTTAGAACGAGCCGTTTTAGGTAGGCGTGGTTGACTCTTAACTTTTATAAAGAATATCTCTTTGGATTTGAGACTTTAGTCTTTGCAACTTTACAGATCTTCTTTATGCACCAAGAGCTTGGAACACTCCAAAGAGAAAGGAAAACTTGAAATTGCATCATATGACCCCTTTTAAAGTGGTAACCTGCGATTGTTACATTAAAGAGATACTTCTACCAGATTTCAGACGAAAAATTTGCTTTGTTGGTGTAAATCAATGTACTATATTATATTATCATTGTAAGGTGACCATTTGTAGTGTAGTTGATTTAAATGGTATCAAATAGCGTGGGACTTGTCAAACTTAGTTTTTTGTTTATCTGTAAATGTAATTTGGGTTGTCACAATACTGAAGTGTCACTAGTTGTTAACTATCCCAAAGAAATTGTATGATTCTCTCCAGTTTTAATAACAGAAATTGGCATTGACTGTAGAAAGACTAGCACCATTAATTTATTTTGTTTTCTTTAATAAGCTCATACCTTTAGTGCACTCAGAACTACTGGCTTGGTGTTTTTCATTTATTGTCCAACTGAGAGGAATTATGATGACCGCTGACTTTGAAATGAACACCATATGTTGTATCTGTGACTGTAAGGATGGGAATCATAAAGAATTAAATGATTCTGGGTCTTATTTCAATTCCAGGTGTTTTGGTTCCTTGGCGACTCTTTTAAGAAAATGTAGTGTGTTTTTAGGAAGAAAACAAATAGACAAATTTAGAAACTATTTCTTATAGCATGTGAGATAAAATGTTAAAAAGACAAGCAACATAAAATGACACATGAGAAGAGCTAATTTCAATGGACTAGGAGCCATCAAAGAGCAGCAAATCACTGATTTAAGCTGTTTATTCCAGTAGGAGTGTAAACAATATGAAATGCTGAGCACAATAAATATCAGATGGTCACAGTGATATCTCTTTTAGTTGAACATAGTATAAAGCAATTGTATATTATCCTTACGACAGCAGCAGTGGGCATGAATCTCATTTTAGTCAGAGATGATTTCCTGTGTGAATGACTGCAGACAGACTTCCAGACGCTGCCACCAAATGTTTGTCAAAGCTGAGATTGAATTTAGCTGGGTGAATCATTTGATCCATAATTTATAAGGCAGAGATAAATGCCATTGAGACCTTGTGTTGACTGTGGCTTAATATTCTTCTGCCTCAGATTAGTTGTATACATGCAAGCCAGGTCCTGACTCGCTCGTGTATGACTACTAACATAGTTTGAATGGTAAAATGAAAATGGAATAGTTAATGAGGTGGAATAGTGTTGTGCGGTAGAGTGCAACAGTAAGTTTACTGAAAGAAAACGTCTCGGGTTACTTATGTAACCATGGTTCCCTGAGGGGAACGAGACACTGCGTCCTCTAGGGGTCGCTATGGGAAAAGCCTCGTCGTGACCCGTGTCTGAAGCCTACATTGAAAAAACACCAACTTGTTTGGCCGGCGACAGCCATGACGTCACTACCGTCACGACTAGTACAAAATAGGCGCCGGTAGCGCACATCATCACTTCTTCGTCTGAAGCTTGTGTCCGCAGCATGGCACAAAAA